CCAAATTTCATAAAAACTAACTGAACTGTTCAGGCTTATTTTTCTAATTCTTCTTATTATGTGGTCTTCAAATTATTTAAAGGGATTCTGATGGATTTAAGAGAAAGACCATAGAGAGAAGTTGGATTATTTTTTGCGACAACAGGCTAGCATGAGCTAACACTTTTTTTTTTCTTTTTGTATTAGTGGTATTGATTGTGTTTTTGCAAACAAATTGATTTCTTTTGTAAGTATAAAAAAACAAACAAAAAATTGTTCTGTTATGTTTGTCACATTTTCAAAGAGCCACTGCAGAGGGACCAAAAAGCCACATGTGGTCCCAGAGCCGCAGATTGCAGACCCCTGATTTAGCAGAATAATAGTGTTTTTACAGTTAATAGTGAGCAACCCTTGTAAAATAGTGCCACTCAGARCAGAAACAGTTCATACCCAGAGAGACGTGCTTACAGTACCTCCATCACAGAGGATCTGAGGTCATTTCCTGTTTGTTATCATCCTGAATGGCTCTGCAGTTGTTTTCCAAAACAACCAGGAAGCTTTTGCTTAATTTGTTATGCTTTCATCACCTGTCCTTTTTTTGTCTCTTCCTAATTCCCAAAGACAACCCAGCACAAAGCCAGCTTATCAGTCGTGTTTATTTACAGATCATCAGAGGCCTAAAAGAAAGCTGCCCGCTGGGCTTCAAATGCACAGATCTGGTCCCTCTGTGCGGCGTCGGGGGCCTCGCTCCCGCTGCCGTGTTTGATGGGTGTCGACAGCCACTTAACAAGACTTCAAAGAGGACCGTTACAGATGTGTGACTGCTCACAGGGTCCTAATCTGCTCAGAGGAGGGGCATCCAGTCCGGATCTTTTTCATCCAGGCAGGGCTTTTTTCCAGCAGTCCTGCTGTAATACAGTGCATTAGTGAGATAAAGGCCTCTCCTCACAGCTGGCTCACGCTGGCAGACTCTTGGAAAAACTGATCCTTTCCTTCTCCACTGCTGGATCTCCTCTGCAGGTCTCTGTCTTTTCAGCTCACACTTGGTCTTCTTCTTTATTTTCTTTTTATTTTACCTTCAAAACTCCTTAATCATTAGACTCCTTGAGGTTTTGGTTGGCAGCTCAGCTCACCTCTCAGCAAAGCCTTGGCCAATTTTCCAGAGTTTCTCAGACACCAGAATTCTTAAACAACGTGAGACCCTTTTCCCTGGTTGGCAGGTAGAGACCCTCCTTTGATGATACATTTGCTCTAAAACTACTTTTTTCTTAAACCTCACACACTGGCTCTATTTTATTTCTTAAATATCAGTAAAAGAGTTCAGCTCAAACATAACTTAAATCGGTAAATTAGGTTGATTTTATGTAAAGGTCTGAATTGCTGAATCTTATTTAATTAGTTGAAATTGTACCTTTTGCTGTATGTCAGATTAACTCAGAATGCCAACAAAATAAGGCAAATGCTCGTCATATTTATGGCAAATTCAAGCTTTGTGATTTAGACATTTTATCATGCTGTATTTTTATTCCAGTGACTTAAATAGAAAAGAAATAATTCCAGTTTCTGCTGATGATCATGAACAACAAGGTGTTATAAACTGTGATACATGGCTCATCCAACCAGCCTAAAACACTTAAAATACTTTTTACTTCTGTTTTACGTCATTAATTTAGTAATGTAATTGTAACACTTTTACATAAAAAGGTGAAATGTAAGACATAAAACCCAAATATTTTTAGCATTGCTCTGTTCTTTACAGGCTTCAAAATCACAAGAAAAAAAAAACAAGTGCCACAGAATCAGAACTGAAGCTAAAAATAAAACACGTCCCCTCAGAGACAGGACATTATCTTCTCTGATTGGACAGAAAAACAACCCCAACTAGAAGTGACCGATGTTTTTATTTTTCTGTAGTAAAGAGAGTTCAGCAGACACATCAGGACRCGGCGCAGCGACATCCAGACCTGGGAGGAAGGGAAGGAGGTTGGACTCCAGACCTCACATCTGCCACCACTTCTCCCCTGAGGCCTGCAGGGCMTGGGAACTGCTCTCCTCCCCACCCCCAGTGCCGGGGACCGGTCCCTCAGGCCTGAGACCTGCTGCGCCTGGCTGGGCCCCCAACCACTCACGTTTGTTTCCCTGACTCTGACACACTTCTGACTTCCAGACTATTTTTTTCTCCTTGTTTTTTTATTAGACGTTGGCAAAATTGTGGCTTCATATAAGTTTGGAATCATGTTTTTATTTCCCATGAATTTAAATGGACTTCATTTCAAAGTTAAACTATAATTA